TTTAGTCCTGATTATAATAGATAAGGAAAATATATGCAAAGCCACTATGCATTCTTTTTTAATACTGTAGGAAGAGCTGTGTGTGTTTCTTCAAAATGCTGGGTAAATATTAATCTAGGGATTGCACAAGCATAGCATTCTATTTACTTTTTTTTTAGAAAATGTTATAAGGGTTAAAAATGCAGGCATAGTTATGGATGAGTGCTAGACATACCTACAAAATGTGTGCTAGGAATTTCTTAATTTGCCTCCCCAGTACTTACACCACTCAGGGTCCTGATATTTTCCTGTCATCAGGGCTTAGAGTCCATTTTCTATACAAGCAATTTTCAAATTTTTTTTAGCTTTTGGTAAACCCGAAATAGTCCTTATATATTGAATGCCTTCTCAGCAAAATCTAAACCTAGCCTAAAACCAATACCATGTGAGGCACTGTAAAAGGACAAAGAAAAATGCTTTATAGTGTCACTAAACCCATGACCCTGCATTCACTATATTTGGTTTCCCATAGTGCACAAAACATGGAAATGCAATTATTTTAGTAAATATAAATTGCCAAATACCTTTTCTCCTCAATAGTATATAGCAGTCTTGTGACTTCTATCGGTGGCCGGCTGAGCACTGGCTAAAGCTTGTAGCGGGAGTTTTCATTCTGCTCTGACTGTCCTATGAGGCTGCATAACCTCTGACCCTCTGTCTGGACAGTGTTGATTGACCTTGTGCTAATCACACGCACCCCCCCAAAGAAAAAAAAACTTTCTAGCAATACACACTAAACTGAGCATGTACAGAGTGACTCCTAGCGCTCTGTACTATCAGCAGATGGATTAGAACAGTAGAAGAAGGGGAGGATCAGAGAAGACCGGATCAAACAGCCTTTTTACACAATGCAGGGGATTAACTCTTTAGATTCCATAGTGAGTATAACAGGCATACTTTACTGCATATACAGACTGATTTTTATGATTGTGGGTTTAGTAACACTAAGTAAACTTTTAAAAAAACTCAGCATTTGACAGCTAAAAATGCTAATAACTCAAGGTAATGAAAATACTGCATGCGTTATGCCTTGGTGCATTTGATAAGAAAATAAAGACTTGAGCAAGATGGCAGCAAGAAAAATACGACAGGAAAGGAAATGTATGACAGTAGTGACAGATGATCTTATACATTTTTGTGAAATAACCTGTTTTACAAGGAGTGGAAAAATGTAAAACATGGGAAATAGTATGTAACCATGAGGGATTGTGTCATAGCCGCACACCACATGACCCTCACATTTATGATGTAATGGAGCATTGAGTTAACAAAGATTCCATATCAACTATCAGTTGACCAACCTGCCCTACAGAAAACCTTAAGTGAACTTTGGAGCCTGGTCTGTTGCTGCTAGAAACCAAAGTTAATAGGTAACCATAATTTACAGCTTACAGCCAGGTGCCCTACCTTAGTGAGATCATTATACATAGCGGCCACAACTTGGAGATCCATCATAAAACCATCTGTGTATTTTATATGCTACTGGAACAAAGTAGCTCAAGTCTTACAGGTCATGTTCACAGAATGTACGCTGAACATGTGCCATGTAAAAGATTACTAATGAATATATGAAATGTATACCTTTTAAAAAGGGTCAGGTTGTCAAAGCTGATAATTGATTATCCTATCAGATAGCGGGAAGGAGAGAAAAATCACCCACTAGCTTGAATTTTAGGGACTGTAGTGAGGAGTACTCTGCACATACAGTAAGTTGTCGGTTTCATTCACTTGCTGCGTTCAGTCTCTTTCCTCCTGCCACGGTTCTTATTTTTTTTTACTTTAGGCAGGATTTAGAAGTACCGAGACTACCCTTATAGAAGCAGGAGTAGTAAGGCTTCACAGTGAAAGCCAGATTCGGTTTGGATCTCTGAAATGCTGTAAATGTAGCATGAAGCAAACGTTTTATTTTAGATGGAGTACAGAAAGGTCAAAAAGTCTATTAGAATTTTATTGTTGTGTATCCACACTGGGAGATTCACCCTCTTCATTTATCCTGGTGAAAATTGTCCCTTAGCCTGGGTTTACACTTCTGAGGTGCGGTATATCGTATGTGATTTGCACAGGAAGCTCATCGAATTCCTGTGCAAATCACATACGAATTCTGTACGGTGCAATTTGAGCCATACATTTTGTGTGGCTCACATTGCAGCGCATATGCACCAAAAAGGTGCAGGACCCTTTTTTGGGTCCGCACTAGAATCAGATCGCATAGGTATTCACACCCATGCGATCTGATTCTGCATATTGCACCGCGTTTTGTGAACCAATTTCAGGGTGTTGTGAACATACACACCCACAGCAGTTCGCATTAAGGAGGTGCGATTGTGATGCGATGCGGAATTCGCACAGAAACTGATGCGAATTCCGCAACACATCAGTGTGAACCCAGGCATTAACAGGAAGACATGGGAAATACAAAACTTTATATGTGTGACGAAACATCCCTTTGTGATAACTATTTGCCCTTTCTGTTTCAGTTTTCTCCCCTTTGTAAAGCTGTATATGTTTAGCAGCTGTAATGTAGACAGGCATTCTACACTGTTTGTTTAGGGTAATGTGAACTTGTAGTCTTTCACTTCTATAGAGTTCATACTGTATTGTTGGTTGTAGGGTTTTGTTGTGGGTGGGGAAAACCCGGTGCCAGGCTGTCTGGTGGTGGTGGGGGGTGAAGCTGTATATACTGAGTTGTGTTCAATAAAGAGTTTTCATTTCACCCTACACGAAGTTCTGACTCGCGGTTTGGGATAGCAGAGAAGGATTTTTTTTTTAGCTCTAATACCTGCCTTGCCAGAGCGCTGGAAGACTTGCCGGAAAAGGGGGGACCATTGGCTGAGACGCATCGCTCCGCACCGGGAAGCCCAGGAGGAACGGTTCCGCCACAATATGATACTAGAACAGGAGGTGATGGGAAATTTTCCAATGGAGACACAAATTATGGCAACAACCATCGAAGAGGGTTTTTTCCCCCTCATATTTAAAGAATAAGCCCACCTTTCTATGAAAAATAATAAATGCAAATATTTTCCAGATAAACAAAAAAAAAAAAAAAAAAAAAAAAAAAAAAAAAAAAAATTTTTTTTTTTTTTTTTTTTTTTAAAGGTGCCTGTAAAGCATTGCACCCATGATCAGCAGTTCGCTGGTGCAATTTCAGGCTTCTGCAGACTGTCAGTGTATCTGTCTGCTTGTATCTCATTCGGGCAGGCAGATAGACAAAGACAGGAAGACTCAATTAACTACCTAAAGCATTCACCAGTGCCCTGGTAGTTCATTGAGAACTAAAAGCCTTCTCTGTGATAAAATGATGCGGCTGTGTGGGAGAAGCCCCGCACGGCCACGTTCTTTTCAAATTGTGACAGCGGGTGCAGGTAAAAGATCCCCAGCCTGCTGTCACAATGGGGGGGGGGAAGAAATCAGCAAGAGGCTGCAGGAGTAAGGACATGTTACATGTTCTGCCCTAAAAGCAGGTGGAATGTGTAACATGTTCCCAAAGCAAACGTATCTTTTAAAGCAGAACTCCACAGTGCTCCCCCATGTCCAGCGGTGGACTATTGCTGCCATCCCCATGTCCAGAGCCAGTCTATGGGCATGATGATGTCAGGAACAGCACATTTACAAGACTGCTAACGTGCTTGGAGGGGGCAGGAGCAGCAGGGACCAGTCTAGCTGTCGGAGAATTGGCAGATTAGGTATGTATATCTCCACACTCCTCACCCCTAGACAAAAATGAGCAGTTAACCCATGCAGTGGGATTTTTTTCCCCTGGAATTCTTAAGAAAAATTCTACCATTTGTGTGTCCAGGGCAGAAGTAAGGGGGGGAGCAAATCTATCCCAATGAAACACAAAGAGGAAGAAAAAAAAAAAAAAGGCACTCTACCCATCCTCTATTCCATCCACAACAAAAGAATAGGTTTGACTTAAAATGTACTTTACATAAACCTACTAGCATCCATCTGTGACATGCCAGGTAGGCTGTTATAAAAAGATTTAGTAAAATAGCAACAGACAGTGGCTAACAAAAGATCCAATAAAACAGAGGTTCATCTTATAGATTAGATCTATTAGTGTATAGCCATCTCTGTTCCTTATCATTTCTTTGAGATTTTTGCTTTCTGTACAGGTTCAGAGGTGATACCACAATAGCCATAAGCTGGATTTTTTATCATACTTAATTTTTTCTAGTGAAAGTGGAAGAATGGAAGGTGATGCTGCTCATTATGTTCTTTGCTTTAGCCTTTATAAACCCATTTGGGTTGTCTGATAATTAGAGGGTTAAAACAGACGGTGAGGAGGCGATAAAATGCCTATTGCGGTCTGAAAATGCAAATCGCTCTTCAGACAGTAAAGCAAGTCTAAATGAGGCCATAGATTCCTATTGGAGCTTTGAGATGGAGCAAAGCATCAAGAAGGCAAGATGGAGTATATTTTCTGGAGCAAAGCAAACCCAACATTGTGCACAGGGACTGTAAAGTAACAATTTTATTTAGTGATGGTTGCTTTGATTGGCATTCAGAGTGTATCTGTATTTATCCTGTGAGGTCACATCCTTCTTTCTTTGCTTGGGCTTCTATGTGCACTGTGATGCGTTGTGGTGCATTTGCGTGGCTTACATGAATTTTTGTGCATTTGTGGTGCGGAAAAATGCAGCATGTTCTACTTTTTTTGTGACTGCACTGCAATAGTGTGAAGTATGCCCAAAGGATAGCCTGGAATTTGGACTGTCTATTGGAGTGCTGTCAAAATTAAATTTAGCTGCATCTGGTGTGAAAGAGTCCTTAAGTCCCAGTTAGTTAAACTGCACATATAAAACACATATATAGTTCTTTACCATTGAAAACAGCTGTATATAAGTGGTCTTACCTCTGGAAGTTTGCTTCCAGGAATGCTGGGAAAGTCGTGATGTTCCATGTGATAGCCAACGTTGAAGGTCAGCAGGTTGAGTGGTCCATAGTAAGAGTACGTTTCATAGCCTTTTAAAAAACATATAGTGCTCTGCAATAAAATGCCCAGATATGGGGTGCAGACCCATTGACAGGATGGACCCCGCCAGTAAATATACAACAGGCTTCAGCCCCCACAAATGATATATCACCATGTCAAAGGAAAACTGCACAACGGCATTAATGACCTCCATATGGGTGATGGGTTTGGGATTCACATAGAGAGGTCGTAGGACATAGAGTAGCGGCTGTAGAATGATCCAGATTATTTTGCGTACAGGAGTACAGAAAAACTTTCCCTCAAAATCAGTGGGAATATCCACATCCAAGCTGTCTCCTCCAAGATATCGGTGATGATCAATGTGGTACTTTTTGAAGGATGTGGAATACGGCATGGCAATGGGAAGATTAGCAAACATGCCAAAGAAACGGTTCCAACGGGCTGATTTGTTTCCAAATGCCACATTGTGAGAAATGTCATGAATGGCAAGAGTCAGTGAATGGTTTATCACACCACCAAAAGCATAGGACCAAAAAATTAACCACTTCCAGGACAGATCACGAACAAGGTAACAGCAAAGGATTTGGACAAGCACCATGCAGCTGACAGTCCATTTAAGTTGTGGGTCAGGTCCCATTAAGTTCTTGATCTGTGGATACTTTGCTAAAAAAGGGAAAAAAATTTTCATTTTAGTCAACAGATAATTACACAAGAACATAATATGGCCATATTGAGAAAACCGTGCAAAAAGTATCAAATTGGAGCAACCAGTTTTCAGATTGATGAAGTAAGAGAACTAAAAAGGATAAATTATGACTGGTTACTACACTTTGCAATTGGCCTTATTGAATCCACTTAAATAGATACTTTAGATTGTTTGCCCCTTGAGGGTTAGGGACTGATGTGAATGTACAATATATATGTAAAGCGCTGCGTAAATTGATGGCGCTATAGAAGTACCTATAATAAATAGATATTATATTAGCAGTAAGGATAACCCCCACTATTAATATAATATCTATTTAAGTAGATTCAATAAGGCAAATCTTATAAGATTACTGTTTACAATAGTTTCTTGATTTTCTAGGATTTCAAAAGTGTTTCCATCTCGGATAGAGAAATATCAATGGATCAAAGGGCCCTGAATCCATCCTACTCCTATGAAGTGATCCGCATGAAATGCCTGTTGTCAGTAACATTTTAAATGTTAATAAATTAACCAACCTCCATGGGTAAAGCAAGCATGTGCTGTTACTATGGTAGACAATCAGAATTAACCTTCCACGTTGTTAATAGGATTTAAATTAATTTTTTCACAGTCAAGGAATACTGTGACAGTGTTGTGTTCACTGGGTACTTAGCAATTATGGACAACAGAAAATATGAAGAAATACCTTCAAGAATGACTAACTCTGCTGCTGCATGAAACAGGCATTGTGACTACAGCCAGCTGAGCTCTGTACTAGGCTGGCAAAAAAATGATGTTGCACAGCATGCTAATCCAATTTAATTTGGTGTTTCCCTGCTAAACTGGATAATTGAAGCTTATCCGGTTTTGACTGAGGTTGAGCAGCCCACAGGTTCCAAGACTCCTGTTCCTTAACACAACCAGCCTTTCTAGTTGTCAGAAGCCTGTTCAGACCAGCTATTGCTGAACTGCTCATTGCAAACATCTGCAAAACGTTACCTGACACAACCTAGAAAATAAAGTAGACTATAAAGAGCTACAGGTGCTGCCCTGGATGGGGGCATGAGAGAAAGTTATAAAGCTAATCAGGATTATAACAGAGTAGTGCAGAAAGCAACAGTGATGTGTAACATGCAGAAACTCATTGGATAAAAAAAAATACAAAAACAGAGTTTATTGATCATATTGGAACAAAGAACATTTTTCAGTGGTTGTTCTGGTTACTGCATCTTGCACATCACTTTTTGTCCTACTGAATAAGGCATGAGAAGCTGGGAATTCTTAGGCTATGGCACACAGATTGCAGAGCGTATCTGTACTCAACATTTCTGCACATACTAGGGTTGCCACCTCATCCCCTTTAAAACCGAACACATGTTAATGACACAAGTTCTGTGGCTAATTAACGTGGTAATTAAACTCAGTGCCTTAAGTGTATTAAAATAGCCTCAAAACCTGTGTAATATATGTTCAGTTTTAAAAGGGATAAGGGGGCAACCTTAGCACATACAGTCTTTCCATAGTGCCACCTCCCTTTATTTAGAGATGGTGCATGTGGGGGGCACTATGCCTGGAACACCCCATGCTCATTGAGAGAAAGCCCCCTAGCCAAGTACTGAAGTGGACTCTCCGAACAGCTTGGCCTATCTCCCTATTGCCATTTACATTATGTATTTAAAATAATACCACTTCCTAAATAAATTCAAACTCAAATTCAGCTCCCCCCACATCACAATCATATAAATAATAATATAACAATGAATATGCCACAATATAGTTGAAAAAACTCCCCTACAGACTCAGTTCAAGTGAAATCAAAACCCAAAAAAAGTCCAAAATATCAAAATGAAACACAAATATGTCCCTCCTGTGTAATCAAGTTGAAACAAATGTTTCCACAGGAAATTATATCCTCCCAACGGTTTCCACGATGACTATTACCTCAAAAAAAAAAAAGAAATACCACATAGTGCATTATCTTTATACAATTTAGACATTAATAAGTGACATCACTCTAGTGAGTATCCCACAAACAAAACTTTTCAGTGAAAAATTTGTGAAAAAATGTGAAACAAACAGTGAAACCACACTGTGTATGTGAATCACTCTTCTGTGCCCAAAAACAAGCAAGCGCAGTGTACATTTCTAAATTGGAATAAGGAGTGGGTACCCTTACCAACAATCCAAAATAATCACGCCTATAATCTTATCCAATAAATGGTGAAAAAATGCCCCTCCTGTAGATCCCCACAAGGCATACACAACCTCCACGGCAATACTGGATTCATCAACCATAGTACTCCATGTGTCCCCCATACACCTTGCTCCATCCATATGCACATATATGAAGGATAAGAATAGTGTAATACCGCCAAGATAATTGAAATAAGCTTTAATAAAACTGCTCACATTATTACAGCCTTTAAAACCGCTTAGTATATAAGATATAACCTTTCTGCCATCCAGGAAATGTCCAGGCTCTTTCAGGTGTTCCTTTCCACTTTCCAAAATGGCCACCGGTGTACTTTCGGTTCCCGTGTACGTCTGACGTCACTTCCCTTGACGCGGCGTTTCGTCGTGGACTTAATCATAAACGCCGCGTCAAGGGAAGGGACGGCAGAAAGGTTATATCTTATATACTAAGCGGTTTAAATTGTATAAAGATAATGCACTATGTGGTATTTCTTTTTTTTTTAGGTAATATTCATCGTGGAAACCAATTTGGGAGGATATAATTTTCTTGGGAGGATATAATTTTCTGTGGACACATTTGTTTCAACTTGATTACACAGGAGGGACATATTTGTGTTTCATTTTTGATATTTTGGACTTTTTTTGGGATTTGATTTCACTTGAACTGAGTCTGTAGGGGAGTTTTTTTTTTGCAACTATATTGTGGCATATTCATTGTTATATTATTATTTACATTATGTAGGCTGTTAATTGGTGCTGTAGAACAGAATCAAAACCTCTTCTGGTGGGGTGGCAAGGACTAAGTGGTTGACCAAGTCAACCAGAAGAATTCAGTAGTTCCAATTAGTGCGAAATTCAATAGATGGCATCTTATTTTGAAAGATGGGTATGTCCATCTAAGGCCACTTAGTATCTAATTACTATACCAGCCAACTGCAAACCAAACCCTTCACTTTTACTACCGAATAATGGCATTATATCAAAGTATTTTTCCACTCGCTAGTGTTTTGCAGTCAATAATTAACTTTGGAGAAGAGGAAACTACACCTGATATTGCTGTGTGCGCTAATAATTACACTGTTCAACAAATTTTTATTTTTTTGCCAGTTTTGGAAACAAAAGGATCCATTTCTTAATGAATTTCACATTCTGAGTTCAAATATAACAATGAAATTTGTCAATTGGCTCTAGTTTTTCTGTAAACGGAAAGTTTTCTACTATAGGCGTAATGACTACATAATGCACAATAATTATATAGATAGATGTCTTTCCACAAATATAAAGCAAGTGATATTGACTACATAACAAAGCCTAAATGGCATACTATATTGCATAGGATTACTAAGAAAAATTATAGCCATAAGCCAAGTTGAATCATTTTAATACTTAGGATTCTCACTAGTTTTGTCTTCAGTTTGTGTCGGTTTTGCTTCTCTTGGCTTTTCTCTTGTATTCGAGGAAAGGGCTATCTCTTACAACTGTCCAGCAATAGTCAGCAAGCATTGATGGGCTCCATTTACCTTGATATTGTCAGGGCAGGGCTGTGGAACGGACAGGTAGGCCTAGTGGCAGGGTAAGGCACTGGCTGACGACAACCACCACCAACAGACCGAAGTCCCTCAGGGCGCGGAGTCTAAGTCCCAGGCTGCCCTTCACCAGGGCCCCTGATGGTGGGGATGGACTTGACGCAGCCAGGAACCAGGTCGCGGCCCCCAAGACACCCCGGCTGCGGTAATGGCCGCCGCCAATGGCGTGTAGCTGGTGAGAATGACAATAGCGTAGTCAGGCAAGCCAAGTCGACAACAACGGGACAAAACAGTACAGAACAGTAGACAGAGAATCACAGGTCACGGGCCAGGTTCAGCAACGGAAGGTCAGATCAAAGGAAAACACAGAGAATGGTCTTAGTCACAAGCAGAGTCAGAATACCAGAAGAGTCACGAGCATATACACAGAGCTGTAGCAAGACAAAGACACAAGACACAAGTGCAAAGAGCATGTGCGGATCACAGGCTTATATGTACTCAGCCACACCCCTCTGGGGGATGGACCTCAGAGACCTGAAGGCATAAAAGCTTCCCACCATGCTCAGCAGAAATCCAAGATGGATGCCAGCACATGGAGTAACAAAACCTCGGGGAAAAGGTAGGACCTTGACAGATATCTTCTTTCCATAGCTGCAATGTCTTGATGGAAGCGCTCTCCGTGTTCATCATGCCGATGGAATATTTGGATAGTGCACAGATAACTTTTTCTTCTTATTTAGCCCTTTTACAATTGGAGGCACCATACAAAAGTAACAATTACGAACATGATCTGTTGGCTCTCTCCAAATCATTGGCACAGCGAAAGGCATAGATGCCTTTTTTCCATTCAACCATTGCTCCAGTGCCGTCCCACAAGAATTGCAGCATATATGTGGTGCCCAGCTCTTGTCCTGGTCTCCTATCTTGCAGCCAAAATACAAGTTGTAGGCTTTCTTAATCATTCCTGTTATCCTCCTTTTTTGTGAGATAAAAGTTATTTCACCGCAGATATAGCAGAAATTATCTGCTTTATTCACACAAGTTCGAGGCATTACTGAGTAGCCTATATAAGCATAAAACGAAATGTAAAGACGCTGTCGAACTACAATCAGCTACAGATACTGCAGCTTTTATGCAGTGAAGTGATGCAATTAAAGGCTAATATTGCATCATCTCAGTATACATGCAATTTTCTATTGGTCACCAGTATCAATTGCGCAATATGCAGCT